GACAGGGTCTTACTGTGCAGTTCAGGCTGGCCTTGAGCTCACTTTGTAGCCCAGGCTGGTCTCGAACTCGCAAGGATCCTCCTGCCTCAGCCTCCTGAGTGCTAGGATTATAGGCGTGAGCCACCACGCCCAGCCTTGTCATGCTTTTTTAAAGCAGTGGTGCTCTGTGAGACAGAGATGGTTCTTTCTTTTGAGTGGTGATAGGTTCCCACAGGTCAGTGAGCTTTCTTTTTTTTTCTCTCTCTCTCAAAAACTGTCAAGAAAAATTAGCTTCTTTTAGAGGTGGGAGTGAATTTCTGCCCAAATTCTCTGACTAAACGATTAAAAAGGACTGGCAGGGATCAGGACGGGATACCCCCACCCAAGGTCCAGCAGAAGGTGGCAGGGAAGAGCGAAGAGGCCGTGTGACTCGGGGGTGACTCCCTGCAGGGCTCTGGATCCTGAGTCCTCGCTGTATGTGAGCGCTGGGCCCAGCCTCTCTCCCTGCCTTCCTCCCCATCTCTCTCTCTCTCAGACAAGTTAGCAACTAATGACCTCTTTTATCTCATCATTGTTGATACTCTCTGGCTGAGATTCCTGGGGTTTCAGGTGGAACACAGGGAACCTTGAACACCTTTGTTTCCCTTACATTTTCCCTTGTTTCTATGTTGTCCCAAATGGGACCTTTTTCTTTTTCCCCCAGCATTAGGGTTTGAACTCAAGGCCTTCACACTGAGCTACATCCCCAGCCTCTGTTATTTCTTCTTTTGAGACAGGGGCGGCGGGGGTCTTGTTAAGTCACTAGGTTGTCCAGGCTGGGCTTAAACTTTCCACCTTCCTGCTTCAGCCTCCTGAAGTGCTGGGATGGTAGGCGTGTGTTACCATGCCTGGCTACGAATGGCTTTTTGAATGCAGACTTTGCAGTCCACCCCATCTCGACTATTTCCTGCCCATCCCTTCCAGAAGTGTCCAACACTTCCCTGTGAGAGAAAACACCTGTAAAGGAGTTAGAAATTGGAAACGATGCTTAGGGAGACTGACAAAGGGATTTAAACCCCATGATGGGGTGCGGAAAGCAGATCAGCCCAGTGGGACAGAAGCGCCCATGAGGAGGCTCTTGGACTTGAGAGTCTGTCTCCCGCTCCCTGGGGAGCTCACCGTGCAAAGCGTGTTTCGGGGCACAGTGGCCAGGGCTTGCCTGGCAGGGAAGAGTCCTGTGGGAACACGACGTTTACCCGGAGGAATAAATCAAACGCCACAACGTCCTTCCCGCTCCGCTTCCCTGCATTCTCACATTCCAGGAGACCTGAGGCGCCCGCCAGCGCCACGCACCTTCCTTCCCGCCTCCTCCCGCTCGGTGCCGGCGGGCGCCTGACGTGTAGCACTTGTTGGCGACAGCCCTGTGCCAAAGACGCCCTCGCCCCCTTCTCTGGGGAATGAGGCGGACCTCCGCTTCCTGGCTGGGTCCCTGGCCAAGACCAATCACCCGGTCCCCACGAGAGCTCACAGCCATGGCGAGAGCTGGCGTCAGCCCCGCAGCTTGTCACCAAATTGCCCTCAAGGGCTGGGAAGGGCTGAGTGGGACCCGTCCATCGCCCCGGAAGAATCACAAGCAAGCTGTCATGCTACGTTCTGAGGAGCAGTTGTGACATACTATCCAGCCGCAGACTCTGCTTAAACACTTTGCCTGTAAGACTGTATGTGTGCATGTGTGTGTGCGCATACACGCGTGTGTATATCCTGTGTGTATCCAGGTATGCGTAGGTGTGTTACACATGTATGGATTTATGCTCTGCACATACATGCATATGATGTGTGGGCACATGTACATTGTGTGTCTGCATGGACCTGTGCTATGTGTACGTGTACATGGGTGATTGCAGCTGTGGGGGGGGAGCTTCCTGTAGAGCCCCCACATTGGTGGCCTGCACTTTGGAACTGCCGCTGTCCCGAGGGGCGGTGGCTAAAATGCCACATGCTCCTAGATGCTCTGAACTGATCCCCACGAGGACAGACAGTCCAATGGACTGTCCTGGACAGTGTTGGACAGACCTTGGGCCAAGCAGAGAGGCCATCCCTTCCTGGCGTACCAGCTCTGATCCTGGTCTCAGTAGTATGGGTTGCTTCTTCATTTCGGTGTTGCTAGAACATCTTCCAGGAAGCCAGCGGCTTGGTTAAACTAGAGGGGGGTCCGCCTGTCTGCCGGTCTGCAGGCTGAAGCTTTGGGGCGGGCTGGAGCTCCCCACCGCGGAGCCCCTCCCTCCTATTTGCTTATCTGCAGGGGAAGTGTGGGAGGCTGAGAGATAAGGCCCTGGGAGGCTGGGCAGGAGTCCTGGGGATGGGTGAGGCGCTGGGAGGCCTGAGGCTCTGCTCTGCTGCCTCAGGTCCAGACCGTGGTATGTTGCAGGCTCTGGAGACAGGACGGGGGTGGGAAGGTGGAACGGAAGTGACGGGAGGGAGAGAGGGGAAGCTTTGTGTGGAATGAAGGGAGGCATCGAAGTGACGCGTCCCAATCATCCACCAAAATGTCTTTCGAGCACGTCAGAGCCATCAAATGAAAGACTGCAAACTGGCCACATAAAACTAAAAGTTCAAGCTGGGCATAGAGGCAAACACCTATAACCCCAGCACCCAGGAGGCTGAGGCAGGTGGATTGCTGCTAGTTCAAGGCCACTGGGAGACCCCGTCTCAAAATTTAAAAATGTAAAACTTCTACACAGCCAGAAAAAAAAATAACCAGTAACACCGGTAAAATCTGTTAACTCCAAATATATTGTAGCAGAGATCAGAGTCTGATAAACAAGCAAAAAAGATACAAAAACAAAAGCGTGGCAAAGACATAAAAAGGAATTCAAAGAAAAATAACAAAGCAGGAGAACACGCTGAACATTTCTCATACAGAAAGGCAGAGAGCAAGCTATCATTTTTCTTTCACCTCTTTGATTTGCAAAGATTAAAAAGTCTGATACCAGTTGGCGGGCAGGGTGTGGGCAATAGATACTTCCATATCTGGCTGTGTGGGCGATGGTCTCAGGCACGGCGTGAAGTGCCTGGTCTTCCACCCAGCCTCCTCCGTCGCGTGCTCAGAGACAGTCCCTGATGAACGGCAGCACACGGGGCACTCAGCATGTACATGGCTCACGTTTCCACGCGACCACATGCTTCAGAGACAGAGCTGGCACTTGCCCTCTGATCGTCATCCCCGTTTTGGCGGTGAGGAAATGTCCGTGAGACGTAGGAACACATGTTCACAGCGGCACCACTTACAGCGGCAGGCAGCTAAAGACAACGTCCCTCCCCGAGGTCTGCTGAGGTGCATGGCCATGTTCCCAGGATGGGACACGCCAAGCATGGTGATAAACCCTCTCTCTTAGTTGCTGGGGGAAGACCTCTGAGCTCTTTTTGTTGTTGTTTAAAAAAACAAATTTCAACTGGGTACCATAGCGTATGCCTGTCATCCCAGCACTCTGGAGGCTGAGGCAGGAGGATTGCTATGAGTTTGAGGCCAGCCTGGGCTACAGAGTGAATTCAAGGCCAGGCTGAAATACACAGCAAAACCCTGTCTCAAAAAAAAAAAAAAATTAAAAATAAGAAGATAATAATAAATAAAGGTTCTGGGACATTTCACAAACAGAAAAAGAAATAAGAGTTGGCAGGGGGAGATATTTATTTTTCATTTCATTTCTTTCTATATAGTTTTGCTATTTTTCAAATACAGTTTTTGAAATCAAGTTAAACAGTAACATGTGTTGGTGCTGGTAGAGGGCCAGGCACACAGGAGGCCAGGAGACTTCCAGAAGGAAACGTGGCCTGCATGGCACAGCTGGGCCCCTGCCCGGGGTCAGCAGGAACCCCTGGGCTTCCAGTTCCTGGGAAGCGCTAGTGCAGGAAGTGGGTGAGGTCATGGGGCACCATCTCAGCCTGGACCTGCAGGGGCACCTAGGTAGGGCCATTTTGGCAAGTACTTGGCGCAGTTGTCACCAGAATCTTTGTGTCTTTTGAGGGGGTAGGGGCTGAGACAGCGTCTCGCTATGTAGTCCAGTCTGCCCTTAGGCTCACTATGTAGCCCCGGCTGGTCTTCACCTTACAGTGATCCTCCTGCCTCAGCCTCCCACATTCTGGGGTTTCAGGTGCGCATCACCACACCCAGCTTCAGAATCGCCTCTCTTCCCAGCAGCCCATGTTGCATGCTTTTGACCATCACAGCAGTGAAGAGGTCCGGGAGCCCCTCCCGATGGTAGGCGCCTGTGGATGAGACCCACAGCTGCGGGGCCACACCCTGGCCCTTCCCTGAGGCTCTCCGCATGCTGGGGCAGTGGGAAGGGGGGTCTCACCCAGGACTGCTGTCTATGGCGCTCCCACGCCCAGTGGTCATCCAGCAACCAGGGACGGTGCCCAGATCCCTTGGGTGTCAGAGACTGTCCTTGCGGGGACGAGGAGCCGGTGTTCCTGCCGGGTTCTGATGACGTTTCTGATCTATTCCAGGTACCGGAACTGCGTCTACACTTACAGAATCCTGCCCAATGAGGACGACAAGTTCACCGTCCAGGTAAGCTGGCCATAAGAGAGGAGAGGGCACCTGTCCCCGGTCGCCTGGACCTCCGGGCTGGGCTGAGTCTGTCCTCCTCCGAAGCCCATGGGGTGGGGCAAAGACGCAGTGAAACAGGTGTGCCCTGGATTGTCTGCGCCCGCGGTGATAGAAGCACCCGGTGGTGGAGACAGAAGCCCAGAGATGAGGAGAAAAGTCCTCGCTTGTGGTCGCGCCGTGTGTTCCCTGGCTCTGTCCAGCGAGGGACAGGAGGGAAGGCAGGCGGCCTCGCCGGAGCCCAGAGACTCAGCAGGCCACAGCCTTGGTCTGTAGAGCCCCCTCCTGCCCAGCAATGGTGCGAGTGGCCCCTGAGCTCACCACGCAGGGTCTCAGGGCGGCGCAGGACTCAGGGCCGAATTTTAAGAGGAAAAATCACACTGCCCCAAGCCCAGCAAGGCCGCCCTAGGCCTGGCCTGTGGGACAGACACAGAGGGCTCGGGCTGACCACGGTGGAAGTCAGGGAAGCTATTTTTATCCAGCTGCATGAAGAGAACACCGGGGTGGAGGAAAGGAGAAGGCCCTGGTCTCGCGTTCTCAGCCAGGAGGGGCAAGCTGTGTGCGTGTGCATGTGCGTGTGCATGTGCGTGTGCGTGTGTGCATGCGTGTATGTGTGCGTGTGCCTGTGCACCTGTGCGTTACTGAGCCCTCCCGAGTCCTGGTAAGAGCAGCAGAGCAGCTGGGAGAGACAAGCTTTGCTCACCATGTCACAGAGGAGCAACGGGGGGGCCTTGAGGGTTGAGTTGAACAGAAAGTGGAAGCGAGTGACCGGGGAGAGGAAGACCCACTGCTGGCTCCAGACCTGACAGGGCCTTTGATCCCAGCACTCAGGAGGCTGAGGCAGGAGGATCGCCATGAGCTACATCATGAGTTCAAGGCCAGCCAGAACTACAGTGAGAGCCTGTCTTAAAAAACCAAAACAAAGAAAACCCCAAAATAGAATGTGTGTCTCTGATGTGGGCTCTTCACCTCCCAGGACATGGTCGCCTCAGCGCTGCCACTGTGTCCACGCCTGGGACGGCGAGGACATTCCCTCTGGCTTGGTGTCCTTCCTGGGGAGCCCTGAAGGGAGTCACACGCTTTAAGTTAAAAGTTGGTTGGCGCCTTTGATGTCCTCCCCCTTACGGTTTCTTCTCTTCCTTCAAAGTGGAGGAGCTCTAAGTATGACTGGAAAGACACGACTCTGTGGCTTTCTGTGTCACCCTGTACCCGTCCCTCGCGGAGGCGCAGACTGCGTCTGTCTGGGGCCCGCGCCCTGCCCACCGCACGCTCCCGCTCCGGCGCTTCCTGTGATGCCGAGTTGTCCCAGGTTGGGCAGCGGCTTTGAAAGCCAGGGCCTGTCTGTGCTTCAGGGCGGCAAGAAACAGTGGCCGCGTTGGCCAAGCTGCCTAAGTGGCGGTGGGCCTGGTGCCAGGGCAGAGAAGGGCCAGGCCACTGGCCGAGCCCCACAGCTGTGACTCGCCTCTTCTCAGCGGCTTGGCACCCAGTCCCCAGGGAGAGCAGAGGGACGAGGACCCCACTGGCTTTCCCGGTCTGGGCCTCTCAGAGGCCCGAAGACTGTGTGCGACTCGGCTATCCCAGAGGAGCTGCCCCCAGAATCACAGGGACCGGCACGGTTCCCTCAGGCCACCTCAGCCCGGGCAGTGGTGGGCAGTTTTCACAGAAGAGAGCCAGCTCTGGGGAACAGGGCTCTCAACCCTGGCCCCTGGCCTGTGACCAGCTTGCTAGACAATACTGGACATGAAAATACATGTTCTAATCAGGCATGGAGGTGCATCCCTGTAATCCCAGCACTTGGGAGGCTGAGGCAGGAGGATCACAGTGAGTTTGAAGCCAGCCTGGGCTCCATAGTGAGATCCTATCTCAAAAAGCAAATAGCAAAAAAAGGTACGCTTCCTAAAATAAGTGGCAGCAGAGGCCCCAGCAGAGCAAATTTGAGCACAAGCCCAATTAAGCCCAGTCAGGGTCCCCGGGGGAGGCTTCAGCAGTTACTGATGGAGGCTGATTTTAACTCAAGTTCCTCTTTTCACTTTGAGGCAAAAGAAACCCTCACAGGCTTTCCTGGGCTTGGCTTCAGTTTCTAAATAAGTCATTCCTCACCATGAAGTCTGTTTGGTGTCACCAGAACACGGGGCTCCCTCAAGGGGGCAGCGGGCTGAAAGCCGTGCCACCTCACCGGGGCTCTTCCAGGGGGGCTTCTGATTGCCACCAGAGGCACACCTCACCAGGCAGTCTACACCCGGCTGCTCCCACGGCCCTGTGTTGGTCCCATGGAGAGGTGCGACCCGCTTCTTGGGGACTCTTGTCTTGCTTCATCTGTGCTTATTCCCAGTGACGGGGACCCCGAACCTTGTAGTCATGACCTCTAACATGGCCCCACCTGGTGCGAGGCCGGGGAGGAAAGAAACAAATAGAAGAAATGAGACGGGCAGGAGAAGGAAGGCGGTGGAGAAAGAGGAAGGAAGACACGAAGAGGAGGAGGAGAGAGGGGAAGGAAAGGGAAGGGAGGCAGGGTCAAGGGAAGAAATGGAAGGCTACAAGTAAGATGGGGCAGTTTGGACGGAAGAAAAGAAATGGCGGGAGGAGGAGGCAGCCCAGCAGGGGGCGGGGCGAGCGGGAGATGAGTTGGTCTAGAAGATTCTCAGCAGTACCCCGCTGTGACAGGGAGGGTAGGAATTTCACTGGAGCCCAACGTCTCTCAGCTCTGCTCTCTGGGCTGGAGACTGTGTCCTCCGGGACCCCTGTGGCCTATGGGGTTGTGGAGCAGTTGTTCATAGAAGAACCTTCTGGAACCTTCTGTCCAACCTCAGGGAGGCCGGAGGAAGGCCGGACGCTCAGCTCCTGGGGAAAATGTGTCCCACACCGGAGGGGGTTCTCATCAATCCCGTCTCCTTTCCAGAGCTGGAAGGGGAAGTGACTCTTTGCTCAGGAAAGTGTGACCATCTTGGGCCCTGGCCCACAGTGAGCCGGGCAGCCCTGCTGCCTCAGAAGAGGACCTGGGCCTTGGTTCTGGGAGACTCTGAGGCAGCAGCAGCTGGAGAGAGGCTGAGGGGAGACCAGGCCAGGGCAGGCCTCAGACGTGTTCCGTAGACAGCCACCCAAGCCGGGAGCACAAGGGAAGCAAACGCGTCTCTTTAGCTCCATCCCATGCCCTCCAACACTTGCTCGCTTCCCACCAAGAATGAAGTAAAAGATAAAAACTGCTCCAGAGAGCCGGGCATGGTGGCTCGGGCCTGTCATCTCAGCACTCTAGGAGGCTAAGGCAGGAGAATTGCAAGCTAGAGCCCAGTCTACGCAACTAAGTGACTTGGTGAGGTCCTGTTTCAAAATAAAAAATAAAGGGGCTGGGGATTTAGCTCAGTGGCAAAGCGCCTGCCTGGCAAGTGTAAGGTCATGAGTTTGATTCCTGGTACTGGGAAAAAAAAAACAACTGAAAAGTAAAGGACCATAGCTCAGTGCAAATGCCCTGGGTTTGACCCCCAGTATATAAACAAAAAACCTGCCTGTGATCTCCATCCCCTGGGGGTCTCTGTGAAGTCCCTGTGTTTCCTGAGGCCAAGATCCCACGCCGGATGTGAAGTCAGGACAGCAGCGTGGTGGGTGTGAACACACCTTTAGATGAAAAGGGAAACTGGATGCTCCTTGTCCCATAGACTTGGCTCATTTCCTGGATTTAGAAGAAAGGCCTTGGGCAGGAGCCAGCCCTGAGCTCTCCAGGGGAGACACTCGGGACTCAGCCTCCTGGTCCCGTCGCTGGCTGTCCTGCTGCTGTGGGCAGCTCGGCTTTGGGAGAGCGGAGGAGCCGGTGCTCTCAGGGCTGTTCCGTCCCGAGGTCGGCAGTTGGCCTTTGTTATTAAGCTCAGGAAGCGGGTGGCAGCTGTTATTGTTCTGCATGAAACCAAGATTCCGCCGGAGCCTCGGAGCAAAGGATGTGGCTGGAGTGCCGCTTCCTGAAGTCACACAGGAGGGACTACAGAGGCTCCGGCGACAGACGGTGGTGTGACCAGGGCCAACCGGACCGCAGGACATGGGGTCCTCTGTGTCATGACCACCACATTCTAGGAGCTTGGCTTTGTACTGCTTGTTTGAGTCAGGGTCTCACTGTGTAGTGCAGGCTGGCCTTGAACTCACAGGGCTCCTCCAGCCTCCCAAGTGCTGGGGTTACAGGCGTGCACCGCCACGCCCGGCCTCAGTATGCACGGCTTTCATATTCAACTTAAAATTTACATTTGCTGCTCTGAAATTCCCCTGGAAGACCCCAGACCCCTCTGTGTTAGGATTCCTGTAGCTTCAGGGGACAGAAAACCCTACTTGAAGAAAGTATTAATTATCTCACAAAGCAGGAAGTCCAGAGTGAGAGTGGCTTCCAGGCCGGTTAATTCTGTTTCCCTAGCTCAGTGGCATCGTCAAGTAGTCAGGTTCATTTCACCTTCTGCTCTGCCATCTGCACATTAGCCTTGCTCTCCAGCTGCTTCTCCTCATGGTTGCAAGATGGCAGCAGTGGCTCCAGCTATCATATCCCATGACAGCTTCTGCAGGCAGAAATCAAGGTCATTTCATCCTAAGACAGATGGGCTCTCCCTAGAAGCCGCATAGAAGGCTTCCCCTCACATCTCATTGACTGTATTTGCACTCTGTTCCCTAGTCAAAACCCATCAACACACAGGACGAGTTGGTGTCAGCCCTGTGCTATTTGGGGCAACAAAAAGGGAAACGGACTCACCATCTAGGCAAAAGGGACCAAAAGTCTCTGGAACAGAGAGAAGTAGGATCAAGATGGCCAGGATCATGGGAAAATATGAAAACAGTTATTTGAGGCACAGATGACAAACAGCATGTGTATGATTTCACTCGGAACTCTCCAAGACCCCTGGGAAAGGACTGAAGGCCCCGCGGCCACACAGAGAGAGCAGTGAGGGTGGCCTGGCCACATGTGCCCCAGAAGGCTAGAGAAATGAGGGCCT